ATTTAAATGAAGACTTGATGACATTTTATATGATCGCCGTGTATGTACTTGATTAGAACAGATAAGGTAAAAACATACATCTACGTTGACATATATACGTTTACTTAGTCTGTCTGTAAATAGGGTTTTTAAGTGCTATGCCTTTCTCCCTTATATATACTGAAGTATATTATGACCATGGGTTCTATGTCGCTTATCTTAGAATTTCCGAAAAAAAATCCGGTCTTTTCACATGCTCTGAAATCAACCAGGATTTAATGAACTAAAAGATCGGGAATCTTGTGGTTTGCCTGTGTAACACACAGCCAAGCGCGGTTATTGCTTTTTATACCAAAGTTGTGTTCGAAAGGTCATTTTACCGTTCGATTTTCGATAAACATCGTCTCTCACTGAAGTTATGATTCACGTTTTCTTACCCCAGTCCTCGCGTGTTGCATCGCTGGGTGATCGATATATATCGTACCCGTAAACATTGCACATTTCAGTATTTTATGCTGATGATATGTAATTGCATTTCGAATAGTAATTTAACATCCCCAGAGTCATCAAATTCTTCCATCCTGACCTCCGTATTTTAGTGTGGACTTGTCATTAGGTCGAGGTCGAAGGCAGATGGAAGTGGAAATGTTCTTGTCGATATTCGATGGGTGGCATCATGAAGATTCCAAAATCAAAAGGCAGGAGCCGTAGAGTTATAGGACAGCATGCCTTGAGATGATTGCGTACAGGCGACTTAAAAGGTAGAAACAACAAACGTCCTCAACAGCTGTGTCAGTCTTTTAAGATTTTCGCTAGGGTGTGGATTGTGTGTCAGTTCCTGAGTTTTGTGCAGTTATGATCAATAGACGAAGGCAAAAATGCCAGTCGACGTCATTGGACCGGCGCGCCGAATTTTGAGGCACATGCGCAAGCAGTGGTTGAAGGACGTACTAGATAAACCGAAGATGACATGGACTGGTTATGCGCCGGCGACTGCAAGAGCAAACTGGCTGTGCAGAATCGGGGGGAGTGGGATAGTCTGCCTTACATTTCAACACAACTAATTAACAACAGTGAAAAGTTTGAATTGCATATGGTTAGGATAGTTCCCTGCTTGTAATATAATTCAGCATAACTCAGTATATGCGAGGGATATAGGCAGACTATTTGAAAATCCTATTTACAGATGGACGTATAAAAAAACATGCAGATATTTACATAGCAGTTATGCTGGTCATCGAGATCGTGTAAATGTTTAACCCTAAGGCATAAATTTGTCTAGTCCTCTTTTGGAGGTCTCGACGTTTTCCGCCAAGACAACGGAGTTCGGAAATTTGTTCCATCCTTCAACCAGTCGGTGGGAGAAGAATTTGGCCCGCAATTCGAGTTTGGCATATTTCGTCTTCAATTTGTATTGGTGCCCTCGAAGATTTGTCTTCCGCGCCAGTTCGAAGAAATCGTCAAACTTAAGAGCACAGTCTAGCCCTCGGATGATCCTGAATGTCATTATCATATTCCCTCTCTTTTGTCTATAAGAGAGAGAAAATATTTTTAGCCTTTCCAGGCGTCTCTAGTAAGGTAAGCCATTTAATCCGCCGACTAGCTTGGTCGCTCTTCGTTGTTTATTCTCCAGTAGGATGTAATCTTTTTTCGTACAGGCACACCATGCCTGAACACAATATTCCAACATTGGTCGAACGTATGCTCCACATACTCGGCTGAAATGTTCTTTGTCAAAATTGAGGAAGGATCTTCCAATCCCGCCTAGGATAGCCATAGCTTTCTCTGGTACTTTGGCGCAGTGAAAAGATTGTTTGGGTGTTGACGTCATCCACACACCGAGGTCTCTTAACTCGTTGGCTGATTCGAGTTGGTGACCTCCTATAAAGTACTAAGAATCAAATCTCAACGGCCTCCTGTTGTTCGATCGTAAACGCGTAAGTTGGCATTTGTTACGATTGAGGTTAAGGCACCACTCATCACACTACTGTTACAAGCGATTAAGATTGTTGAGATTCTTCCAGGTCCTATATTGATTTCCACAGATTGAGATCATCGGCAAACATTACGCGCTCGCAGTTCAAACAGTCCAGGCAGTCGTTCACATATACTAAGAACAGAATTGGACCCGAAAAAACTCCTGTGGACGGATGCCCATTCCGATTTGGCAATACCGATACATACACGCTGACATCTGCACGTAAGAAAATCGGTTAGGCATCTCAACCGATTTCCATTCACACCCACATGACGTAGTTTAAATATAAGTCGTGTGTATGGAAAACTGCCAAAGCCATTCTGAAGTCAATGTATGCGGCGTCGACTGATAAGCCCATGTCGATTAATTTCGTCTAGCTCTCCATGGATACTAGCAGATTAGTGAGATATGACGGTCCCCTTCGAAATCCATGCTGATGCGAATTTAGCAAGATGTTTTCTTCGAGGTGCCACATCCGCTCCGTTTTTATTGCCTTTTCCATTAGTTTGCAACAGATGCTTGTGAGATTCATTGGTCTGAAACTATTTGGGGCTGTTCTCTCTCCACCTTTATATATGGGCTTATATTTGCTTTCTTCAACTCGGTAGGCAGAGCCCCGGTCTCCATCGAAGTTCTGAAGATCGTGGATAACGGAGAGGCCAGTTGGTCGGAGAGTTCATTCAGTACTCTTGCGAACACGCCATCCGGACCAGGGGATTTAGTGGGCTGTAGTTAACTCAGAATCTTCCTTACCGTGTCTGTTGTGAAGTCCACCGTGCAAATTGTATTGTTTGATTTGTTATTTAGGGGGTAAACTCCTTCATCAAAAGCCGGCTCCTCGGTATACACAGACGTGAAGAAATTAGACAACAGGTTCGCCCTATCTGAGTTGCCAGACACCTCATTTCCCTAGAGATCTTCTAGACAGGGAATGCAGGCCCGGTTGCGTTTCGCCTTATTCACGTATCCAGAGAATTTTCTGGAATTTTGCGGAATATTTTCAATAATTTTTTACCAAAATTCTGCCCGTTCCCTCCTCAACAGATTCCGGCATACATTCCTCTGTTTTCTAAAGTTAATGAAATGCTCTGGTCGTTGATATCTGGCGTACTTTTTCCAAAGGTTCCTTTTTAATTTAAGGTTCTTCTTTATTTCTGACGTTATCCACTCTGGTCGGGAAGTGCACGGCTTCCTCTTACTTAGGCAACAGCTTTCTACCAAGTGCGGCATTACGTCCTTGAAGAAGAGCAATCGTTATCTGGGTCAGGTGCTTGTGCAGCATTGCAATTCACATTCAGTAACAGATTTTTCATTCGGGAAAATCCAACTTATCCGATTACGTTCGAGCAACAAGAGGCCGTTGAGATTTGATTCTTAGTACTTTATAGGAGGTCACCAACTCGAATCAGCCAACGAGTTAAGAGACCTCGGTGTGTGGATGACGTCAACACCCAAACAATCTTTTCACTGCGCCAAAGTACCAGAGAAAGCTATGGCTATCCTATGCGGGATTGGAAGATCCTTCCTCAATTTTGACAAGGAACATTTCAGCCAAGTATGTGGAGCATACGTTCGACCAATGTTGGAGTATTGTGTTCAGGCATGGTGTGCCTGTACGAAAAAAGATTACATCCTACTGGAGAATGAACATAAAGGAGGCACAGCTATTTATGTGTCAAATGAAATTGCGTGCTGTCAACGAGAAATATCCGATGGTGCGCCCCGAAATTTTGAAATAATTTCATGCAAGATATGCATCAAACAATTACCGACACTGAACCTGTGTGTTGTCTATCGGCCACCCAGCTCGAATGAAATCGCCGATATGGAATTACTTAGTGCACTGGAGCTGATATGTAAGCAGGAGAACTTACTACTTCTGGGTGACTTCAACGCTCCAGGAATAGAATGGAACATTCCCCTAACAAACGTCCCGTCCAAGTCATTTGACCACAAGCTACTACAACTCTCCCTGAATTAATACTTCATTCAGCACATAAAATTTGGAACAATAATGAGAGAAGGACAACGATCTAACTGTTTAGATCTCGTTTTCAGTAAAGAAGAAGGACTCATAAAGGAAGTGAATCCACAACCTCCACTCGGTTTAAGCGATCATATTGCTTTTACCTGCGTGTGCTCTCTCCTATCCAACCAACAACCAAAAATCAGGACGCGCAGAAATATTTGGAAGGGTGACTTTAACGCAATGAGACGCACTCTTTTGGAGGAAACCTGGTTGGTCAACACAGAAGATTCAGACGAATTTTGGCAGTAATTTCGCGGGATTATAAAGCGTCTGATTGATTCCCATTGTCCAATAAAACTGACAAGACCATGTATGCGACCGCCGTGGGTCAATCCGACGACAAAAAAGACCATGAAGAAGAAACAGAGACTCTGGAAAAAGTATTTGCAACTTCGAGATCCAAGGTCACTCGCCGAATATAAGGATCAGCGCAATAAATGCCGCAAAGAAAAACGGGTTGCTAGAACTTCTTTCGAGCGTCGACTGATAGCGGAATCCATTACATGTCCCAAGAAGTTTTACGGGTACATCCGCAGTAGGAGGAAACATAGGGACGAAATTGCGTGTATAAAGGATAGCCTCGGAAACTTATTAGTTGAAGGGTCACAGAAAGTGCGATTACTGTCTCAGTTTTTTCAATCGGTTTTTACGGAAGAGTCCCTAGAAGACAATCAGCAGTTTGAAATGGACCGAGACAGCCGGGAGCTTCAAATGCGCCAAGATATTGCCGTCATTAAAACCGTCGCCTTTTCCGTGGAAGAAGTCAGACGAGTCCTCAGTCAAATAAAACCTGATTAGTCTCCTGGACCCGACGGAATTAGCGGGCTGATATTAAAGGAGCTATCAAGGGAGCTGTCAAAGCCTCTTTCGACTCTCTTTGAGCTGTCAATGAGAACAGAAAGGCTGCCCTTACAGTGAAAGACAGCTAACCTCGTTCCATTGCATAAGGGAGGTATCAAGATGACAGCAAGCAGCTTTCGACCTATTAGCTTAACTTGCCTCCCTTGCAAAACGATGGAAGCTATAGTAAAGAACGCTATACAGCAATTTTGTGAAGAAAATAACCTCTTGCAGGATTTTCAACATGGCTTCAGGAGAGGACGTTCCTGCCTCTCAAATTTGCTAGCTTGTCTGGAAATCTGGACCAGGGCTCTAGAAGAGGGTTTTGAGGTCGATGTCGTGTACATCGATTTCCGCAAAGCTTTTGACACTGTCCCACACCAACGTCTTCTTCACAAATTGAGCGACATCGGCATCCGGGGAGATCTTCTGAACTGGATTAGGGCGTTTCTGGTTGGTCGGAAGCAACGTGTCTGTATCGGGGATGATATGTCAGAATGGGTGAATGTGACCAGTGGTGTGCCGCAAGGCTCAGTTCTGGGACCATTGCTCTTCATCCTTTATGTTAACGACGGCCTTCAGGAACTCGACTGCGGCAAAATAATGTTTGCAGACGACGTTAAGCTCTGGCAAGTCATTAAGGGTCCGAATGATCAGAGATCCCTTCAAGATAATCTGCACCGACTGCAAGCGTGGTCGAAGAAATGGCTTCTAGATTTCAATGTGGAGAAGTGTGCCGTCCATCATCTGCGTCCAACCAACTCTCATTCAAATGAGAGTCTGAGGACTTATCACCTGAAAGATATAAGGCTCCCCGCAGAATCTTCTCAGAAGGATCTCGGGGTGTGGATACAGAACAACCTGAAACCAACACTGCAGTGCCACAAGGCTCCAAAAAACGCCATGGGAGTGCTGCATGCAATAAAAAGGGCTTTCGTAAATTTTGCCCAAGACCTTTTTGGGAGAGTTTACGGCACATTTGTTCGGCCCCACCCAGAATATGGCATACAAGCATGGCGGCCATGGCTGGTAGAGGACCAGGAATGCCTCGAACGGGTACAACGGTGTGCAACAAAGCTGGTAAACGGTCCAAAAAGCCATTCCTACACAGACAGACTGAATTGCCTTAATTTATTCCCTCTGTGTTACAGGCAGCAAAGAGGTGATCTTATCCTCGTCTACAAGATAATACATGGCCTTGAGTATGGACTTAAATTTGAGGACATGTTTCAGTGACACCTTTCACCCAATCTTCGTGGTCACTCGATGAAGTTACGGACAACAATGTCCAGGCTGAATCTTCGTTCTGAATTTTTTACGCAGAGGGTAGTGGAGAAATGGAACAATCTCCCTCAGTCAGTCGTGGAGGCTACATCCCTGCAACTCTTCAAGAAATGCTTGGATGATTATTTGTGTCTCCTGTTTTCCCTCGACGGTCTGAATCTGAACTAATACCCCTGGTCCCCACAAATATTTTCTCTGAGACAATGCTACTCAAATGAACCAAGTACTGTTTTAATAGTGAATATTTTTTGTTCGTGTACAGTTATTTCTAACGAGCTGACATGTAATCAATAGGGTTTTCAAAGTCTTTGCCTATTATCCTTACCAAACAAACTGACATAAACTGAAAGAGCGACCAAGCTAGTCGGCGGATTAAATGGCTTACCTTACTAGAGACGCCTGGAAAGGCTAAAAATATTTTCTCTCTCTTATAGACAAAAGAGAGGGGATATGATAATGGCATTCAGGATCGTCTGAGGGCTAGACTGTGCTCTTAAGTTTGACGATTTCTTCGAACTGGCGTGGAAGACAAATCTTCGAGGGCACCAATACAAATTGAAGACGAAACATGCCAAACTCGAATTGCGGACCAAATTCTTCTCCCGCCGACTGGTTGAAGGATGGAACAAATTTCCGAACTCCGTTGTCTTGGCGGAAAACGTCGAGACCTCCAAAAGAGGACTAGACAAATTTATGCCTTAGGGTCAAACATTTACACGATCTCGATGACCAGCATAACTGCTATGTAAATATCTGCATGTTTTTTTATACGTCCATCTGTAAATAGGATTTTCAAATAGTCTGCCTTTATACCTCATATATAGTAAATTATACTGAATAATCCCTCTTCCATAGAGTTCTTTCCCCAGCAACTCGAATTTCGGATGCAGAAATATGACTATACATACGAACAAGAGCGCAGTAGTCACGTCGACCAAGTTGCGTGTGGGATTCCAATACAAGAATGCAACTATCATCCCTAATGTTGATGAGGTCTAAGCAACTGCACCGCTGTTAATTTCTGAATCGAGTGTCCACTGTAACATTTTGGGTAAGGAACTCATTTGTGATCAGTTGAATAAGTTTATGTTCGAAGGAGTTTTCTGATCGCGTGCAATGCATCAAATTCCACTCTATGTCTAGACAGTTAAAGTCACCAAGTAACCTTATGTGTTTACTTTGACAATTTTTTTTATCTCGTTGATGAGTGCATCGTCCACATCCGTCCGCTGGCCTGGCGGTCTGTAAACCAGGGCCATATGTAGGCCTGGATGGTTTGGCACATTCAAGTAACAACTGAGTATTTCACAATCAATGTTCCGAAATGGGGAATGCTCAACTCGGACGTAGTCGATGCCATTTCGTACAAATACCAAAATCCCTCACCTTTGTTCGATTCGGTCCATCCGGAGAAGCTGGAAAGCATTAAGCATAACTTCCGCGTCTTTTATCTGCGCATTTAACCATGCTCCTGTTAAAGCTATGAAGTTGTGTCGGAAATGGGCCACGGTGAGTTTGATTCATTCCAATTTGTTGTATAAACTCTGCACATTTGTGTACATCATTTTTATATTATTCGTTTGTTTAGATCTCTGAAAATTGTTTGCAAGTGCTTTTCACTGATAGTTACGACTTCATATTTCAGATGCTGTACCAGGTCCATTTGTCGATTCTGAATTTACTGAACTTTGTCGGAACCGAGCGCCGGTGCTTTTACCGTCAAGGCCACCGGGTTCTTGGATTTCAGCAGATCGTGCTTCACCCTCTCTTTCGGGCTGCCACTAGGTGCTTCAGGAACTCCTTGCACTACCACACAACGTGATATCTCGGGGAGAAAACTGGTGGTTAAATCCTGCCCTCTTTTGCTGGCGATATATTGAGTCTCAGATTCTAGGACTGCCTTTATGGCTGTATCCAGAACATTTGCTAAGTCGCTCGCGTCCGTGATATATTCTGTAACGGGTACTCCTTTTATAAGAGCCTTTTACTTGTGACTGAGTCTAGCGCCCGTTGTTGTCGCACATCTTTTGACTGACTGAGCGTTCTTTTCCAGTTTAGACGTTTCGCTATTTCCAGATGAACTAGCTATTGGCCTAGCGAAACTCAGATCCGTGTACGATTCATTCATCTTCCTGTTGATATCACTTCCTTCTATGTTTCAGTGTTATTCGTTGAAAAAGCTAACCTCGGTTTCTTTCGAAGCCTCCTCTTAAATATTCTGGCTTGGTTTCGGCCCGCAAGTTGTTCCGATATCTTTATTGTTCAATATAGTTGGGAGCCTCCGGCGGTCCTTCGTAGGCCTTACATCAAGTTTTATGGGCATTTCTCCAAATAACATTATTAAGTTTACAAGTTTCAAACGGTGTTCTTAAAGGTATGAGACGAATATTCAACCAGAGCTGAGATATGAGGCAAATGACTCAGCCTTTCGTAAGTTTTCGGGATTTCTCAGTGCTTTTGCAGAGAGGCGACTGGACAAAGATAGGTTATCCCGCACAAGTCCTGGTGTAAGTGTCCGCGAAGACAATTCGGAGTCTTAATACCCACGAGCCGTGAGGAAGTCCAGTAGATAGAAATCCCGATGAAAGTGAAATGCTCCGAGGTCGAAAATTTCAAACCAAATGTCTAAAACTGATAAAAATGCAGCACACATTGTTTTCAAATGGCGGGGGTAGATGAAAACGTCAGTTCAAATCTCAGTTCTTGGTTCACTCGTAGGTCCGGCCCATGCACCAGAGCCAATCTATGACCATTCGAAATGTTGGCTCACCCACGTCCATTCTCTGAAAACAAATAATGAGAAGTGGTTCGCTTGTGCGATTAATTTCACAGGTTAATCTATGCAACGAACGTATTTCAAACACTTGCGCTTATTGCTTAGCTTAATAAGTGGTTGCTAGTAAACTGCGAAGCTAAATGGTTCCTGATACTTAAGAATGCGAGACACTTGCTTAGTAAATTTAGTGCAATACACGCTGCTATTGGTTCTCTTCCTACATACTATTCCGCTGTATTTTTTCAAAGAAACTTCCGACTTGCAACTTTGCTACGCTTAGACCGAATTTCGCTGTTTTCAGCTTTGTGGCCGACTTTCCAAGTCTGGGACAGGACTGCGGGCAACAGGCAGCATTAAATCCGTAGAGCTTCTGCTAGTGCATTACTGAAGCCAGCGTGTTCTCATATTATAACGGAATCGCCAGGCCGCATTCGACTGTACTAGTGCGACTGGTTTTCTGAAATGGGTCCATGGAGTACTGTGTTATGATTATTGACCTTGCAAAAGGAGTGCGGTTATCTGCGTAAGTCACAGTCCAAACGAGTGCCTGGGAGTTTGAACAAATACCGGAAATATCAACAATGCAAATTTTGCTACTAAAGTTGGCAAACCCACAAAAATGCTGTTATTAATGCTTTTCTAAAAGAGCGTCAATGTGTATATTCATAGTTCTCAGAGAATGTGCACCAATTTAGACTACTACTACTACTACTACTACTACTACTACTACTACTACTACTACTACTACTACTACTACTACTACTACTACTACTACTACTACTACTACTACTACTACTACTACTACTACTACTACTACTACTACTACTACTACTACTACTACTACTACTACTACTAATAATAATAATAATAATAATAATAATAATAATGACCGCACCATAAATAACGGTTAAGGCAAGGGACCACAATGTAATCGCGGATATAATAGCACCTGCATTGAGTATAATATGAGAAAACACTTAGCCTACTGATCTACTAACTGCTTTTTGAGCGAGCGCGCAAGATCCATGGTCAAGTAACTTTTATGGCAAATGTGGAGACAATTTCTAAGCAAGGAAATATGCTCTAGGGGAAGCAAGTCATAAGACCCGGACCGCGACTTAAAAGTTTTCCCACTGTTTTACTTGAAAAACACAGAGAAACAACTGATACTGCATCATGCGAAGCCTATATTTAGGGGACGCACATGGAAAGAGATTTTCTTTCTGACACCTGTGCCCCACCACTATATTTGCCCCTACGGTTGACAACTTACTATTTGTTAGATTGCCACCGTTAATTTCCATAGACGTATACTGAGTTAGCTTAGCTGATTTTTGGGTCCCAAACTAATAATAACAGGAATCCTACCAACTATTCAGGAAACAGTAGATGCGGTGACTTCGCTCACGTGGAGATTGGCGGCGGCTGTTTTGGATAGCCGACGTTTGGTTGAGGATGGTTAGGCCCTTTTGTTCACGCGACATTTTAAGGGTAATTTCGTGCATTTGTGATGCCGATTGTCAAACAGTGTATTTGTCATTTAAGATCGCGTGCTGCTTTTCCTCCCGGATCATTGTTTTCAGTGACTAGGAGCACACCGTTGCTGGCTTCCAGGTAGGTATGGTTGTTTAATTAGAATTTAGATGAAGTTAGACGTTCGTTTCGAAACTTTTCAAATCGTGACACTTAAAAAGGTTGCCTCAAGCTAGTGCTAGGGTTTAGGTTTAAACTTACGACAGCTGTCCCAAGTATACTTGGGACAGCTGTCGTAAGTTTAGCTTCCTATAGGAAGCTAAAAGTTGTCCATCTGTCTACCCACGCATTATTTTTCAACAAATTGATAAGCCTGTTATTTTAAGGAGTTTGGAAGACTAGATGTGCCTCGCCGCAAAGCATCTTATTGACATACTTTCATAGTATCATTCAAATATCCCATATGAGAGGATAGTTACAATTTCAGGCTCCTCTGGAGTTTCATAATTGATGTATTTTACTTTCAGCTGAGACGCACACCGAGAGCTATACTCACCCCACACAAAAACTATATTAATATTATTGTCCGGACACTAAATCGCAGTATGCAACGGTTAACAGTCAATTTCATTTAAAACCTCACTGAATTTTCTCCCTCGAGCTCCACCACCGTTTCTTATTTCAGCACATTCCTCACTTACTAGCTACTACAGGCTGTGCAAGTCATCTTACGCTAGCGAAACGAAAATAGCATTGAACAGCTGTCAGTTCCTGTCTGCCTGTAACTCAAATGGTTTCTCCTTTTGTATGGGACTGTGCACCCACGTGTTTTTCAGGTCATCACATGGATCTTACCAAGATTCAGACAACCGCCCGCAAGAAAACTCTTTGTTTCGCAGTTTAATTGGTCTAAGCGTTATCATTGGTGGGACTTCTGCTGTGGTCTACTTCAATAAAACTGCCCGGAATTATGCGACGGAGAAATATCCGCAGTTAAACGACTACTTTGCGAAAGTCGATACCCTTCTTGCCCAGTGGCAGTCAAAGAGACCGAACTTCGAACTTCCGCAGTGGCCAAAGTCGGCAGTCATTGATGACTTCTCCAAAACATCGTAAGCCTTCCTTAATGCTAAACGAACGTCGACTCGCAGTGCGCTGTAGTGTTTTGGCATTAAGCAATTTCTTTTTGTGGTAGGTACAACTGATTTTTCAGTTAAGACATATTGGTTGTCAACGAAACGTAGGACGTCCGTGTGCGGACCGTCATTGATAACCTGGTTTATCTTCTTTCATGATTTTCGTTGGTTTTCCCCATGGACGTACTTCTGCTTACACTTAAACGGTGATGCAATTCAGTTGAAAACCGTTCTGGCTGTTTCACACGACATTCCTTTTTTCGTTTTCTCATTTGCCCTCCTACACCGAAAGTTTTTTTCTTTTTTAGCTCGCCAGACGTAAGCATATCAGTAAGTTGGCAATATTATATGTATCAGTCGGAGTGTA